ATAATATGTAAATTAAAAATTGTTATTTTACGGTGATAATCTTGTTTTCTTGTGCCCAATAATGCATAATTTCATTTGATAAACACATTTAGATTGAATGGTAATTTATAATCAGTCACAAGAACGTCGAATCTGAATCACTTGAAAAAAAACACGGGGGTGCTTAACTTTTTTCCAGGTGTATATAATCCATAGTGACTGAACCTATTGAAGGGCACATACTTTCAAAGTACTTATAAACAAACAGCAAAACTTCTATTTATGGTTCAAAATCCTATACCATTGTAAACCATCTATATGAATTTTGAGGCCAAGAAAAGGTGCAAATAAAATAACGTGTATTCAGTAGCATTTTGACTGATTATCAATTCATTCACCAGACCATCATGGCCAATTAAAAATTATTTGGCACCAATTAATAATTACTATAATAGTGTCAATCTTGGGTAACATGGTACTCTTTGCAACTGGAATAATCCTCAAAGAAAATTTGACAATTATCTACCCATTTTGTGAGAGTTGTTACACTGTAGTATGGAATAGATTTATGTGATAAGCTGGTTAAGAAATAACGATTGCAGAAGGTACAATTTTTATTACTTACGTATCTTTTATGTTTTAAATACTTCAAACAAATATAATGCAGCATGGTTTATGTGAAATGTTATAATAGCCAAGTTAATGCCCTTTGACCAATCCATCTGTTGGAAAATTATGACAATGAAGTTTTCTAAACAATATATTATCATTTGGCAAATAAATAATTTAAAAGAAAAATATTTACTTTTATTTACATAGTTAATAATTAGTATGCATATAGTATAAATGTAAACTCACTACTGTTGTTTAAATTGAACTTTATTGTTTAATTTTTAGTTGGACAGTAATGGTTTGTTTGTTTTTGAATTTCGCGCAAAGCTACACGAGGGCTATCTGTCCCTAATTTAGCAGTGTAAGACTAGAGGGAAGGCAGCTAGTCATCACCACCCACCGCCAACTCTTTTACCAACGAATAGTGGGATTGACCGTCACATTATAACGCCCCCACAGCTGAAAGGGCGAGCATGTTTGGTGGGACGGGGATTCGAACCCACGACCCTCAGATTGCGAGTCGAGTGCCGTAACCACCTGGCCATGCCGGGCCGACAGTAATGGTACCAATTATCATTGATTAATCATTGTCACTGTGACCAATTACTAATTCACTACTGATTGACACATGGAGAGGTGGTATTTCTTAATTTTCAGTAGTTGTTGTTTAGAAATTGAACATAAAGTCAAGTTAATTTGATGAATTATTTAATTTTCTAAGCATAGTGAAACTACAATTGCAATTCAGCATATACACAGCATAGGTAAACTTGGATGCTAAGGAAGTTAATTTTAACAATACATGCTATCTTCCTTAAAATGTACTTTCAACAATAGAACCATAATGAAGTTCTTGTTTTTGAACAGTTGTCAGTTACAAAGTGTACATCTGTTTACTTGTTCCAAGTAAATTTCTATAATGCAAATAAAAAAATCTGACATCAAGATAGCAGAGATTTTATTAAAATTACAGTATCTGTTTATTAATACATTTTAGTTTTCTATTAAAAGTACAGCATATTAATAATTTTTCCAAATACAGTAAATAGCAAATATCACACTTCGTTTGTTTTAGTTTATCTTATTATATTTTAAAACATATTAGGCAGATTTAAGAAGATTCAGTTGAAAGCTGTTTCAATTCTTGTTCAAGTTGTTCACGTTCTTTCTGAAGAAGCATCATTTTCCGTTTATTCTCAGAAAGACGACTCTCCAGAACTTGAAGCAAAGGTCCACCAACTACTTCAGCAATGTGGCACAAAGACTTTGTGTAAACTGAAGAAATAAGAAGCTATTAAATGAATGTATAAACCTTTTTTTAAGGTTACTGAAATATAAAAATATATTTACTGATGATGCTTCCATAAATCTCTCCCCATATGTGCTTGAAAAAATAATGTCAACTAATTCTAGTCTAAAATATTTCTAATTTCAAATCACGATTTTGGTTATAATTTAGTTAATGGTTGTAAGTTGTGTGGAGTAAGATAAAACCTGTTTTTTGTCAATAGTTCTGATGTAGTCTAAAATAAGTCTATGCCTTATACAAACTAAGTAAATATAAGATCTATTACTCTTTAAAAGCAATGCATCACATCCTACCAATTTCTATTCTGCATTTTACATACCAAAAGACTGGCTCTTAACAATGAAGTAGACCATCAAGAATGATCACTCCCACTGGCTGCCAGTGTCATCTGTGAGCAGTTTGTTGCGTCAGCGAGATCATGTGACTATTCTCACGCCCTTTGCTTTCTAGAACTATCCTGTACATTGGCGAA